CAAGTACACAGCCTATTATTAACTGTAGTCAACACTTCCCCCTGCCATCCCAGCTCTTGGTAACCACCATTCTACTCAGTTTCTATGAGTTCACCTTTGTTTTTTGGGTTTTTTTTTTGTTTGTTTGTTTGTTTTTAAGATTCCACATATAAATGATACAATATGTATCTTTCTCTGGCTAGTTTTTAAAAAAAAAAATTTAATGTTTATTTTTGAGAGAGACAGAGTGCAAGTGGGGGAAGGGCAGAGAGAGAGGGAGACACAGAATCCAAAACAGGCTCCAGGCTCTGAGTGGTCAGCACAGAGCCCAATCCAGGGCTTGAATCCACGAACCACGAGATCATGACCTGAGCCAAAAAAGTTGGATGCTTAACTGACTAAGCCACCCAGATGCTTCTCTGTCTGGCTAATTTCACTTAACATAATGTCTTCTAGGTTTGTCCATGTTGCAAATACCAGAATTACCTTTTTTCTTATGGCTGAATAGTATTCCACTGTGTGTGTGTGTGTGTGTATTCGCCACATCATCTTTATCCCTTCATCTGTTGATAGAAACTTAGTTGTTTCCATATTTTGGCTGTTGTAAATAATGCTGCAGTGAACATGGGGGTTCAGTTACCTCTTCGAGATAACTGATTTTCTGAGGCCAGTGTTAGATATCTGACACCAGGACGGCACCTTCCAACTGTCTTACTGCGTTTCTGTCCTGCAAACTAGTTGGTCTTCAGTTTAGCCCCTGTTATGAATGAATCTCCTAATTGCCTTTCACCGTAGCTTCCACTGTTCTTGGCGGTACCCTTAGGCTTGAATAACTTCTTGCTTTGTTGTAACTAAAATCAGTTCCTTTGTGAAGAGATTAGGTTCTGTTTTATTGCCTGTTTCTTCTGTCAGGCAAAAATCTTTTGTGTCAGGGGTCTGTAACTAGGGGTGGGGACCATAGTAAACTTTTCTTTAGGGTTACCCCTGCTGTAGGAGCTGAGCTCTTAGTGAAAATGAGAGGTGGGTGGCAGCCTGTGTTCATCTTAGCTTTTCCCTTTGGGTTAGAACATTACCTCCTGAGTCGGGGGCAAGGGTTGTGAGTGCCCCAGCATTCTCAGCTTGCCACATCCAAGGTAGAGTCTTTTTATCACCAGTGGGGGCTGAGTAGAACCGAGCCCCATGCCTTCTAAACTATCCTGAGGCAGACAGTGTAAGCAACAGGTAGCTTGGGGAGGATTACATGCTAATGGCCTAGCCTTCTCAGGAGGAAAGTCTGTCTGCTGGGAGTGATCCTTGGGTTCTCAGCTGCGGCAGTCTCAGGGGACTCTGCCTTACTGAGCTGGGAGTAGGGAGGGACGGAATATCTTGGTTTACATACCACAGACGCTTGCCTTTCTTAATGGATTTTCTGGAATAGATGTTTCTTCATAGGTCCTTTGCCTTTAGGATAATTTCCAAAGGCTTGAAATGGCCAGTAGGGTTTTTAAAAATAGTTCTCACCTGGGGCCCCTGGGTGGCTCAGTCGGTTAAGCGTCCGACTTTGGCTCAGGTCATGATCTTGCGGTTTGTGAGTTCGAGCCCCGTGTCAGACTCTGTGCTGACAGCTCAGATCCTGGAGCCTGCTTCCGATTCTGTGTCTCCTCCTCTCTCTGCCCCTCCCATGCTCATGCTCTGTCTCTCAATAATGAATAAATGTTAAAAATAAATTTAAAGATAAAAAAAAAAATAGTTCTCACCAAGGAGTGGGGCCTTTGAGCTCCTGGCTGTATCATGCTGGAAGTCAGCCTCCTCTAGGTCAGTGGCTCTGAAAGCTAACACTGTCAATCTTTAATCCTCTCTTAACCCTCCCCAGTATTGCTCCATCATATTCTCCTTTTGCCCAACTTTATTTTCTTCATTGTATTTATACTTGAGATTATGTTTTATGTCTCCTTCCTCCTGATAGGTTAGTTTTGTGGAGGCAGGACACCTCATCTGTTTTGCTTAATGCTGTATCTCCAGTACTCAATAAATATACACTTGCCATATGGCAGGACTGCCGTGCCATGAAAGAGGGGAGTACATTCATGGTGCTGTGAAGATTCTAATCTGAGAGAAGTACTGACGTTATTGTACCTCAGAATCAAAGTAATACACACATCCTGGTGAAAGCATTGTTGCCATATGAAACCAACCTGTGAAATCTTACAGCCTCTTTCTAGACCACCTAGTCTAGCAATTTAAAACTTTTAGGACTATGGCCTGGTTCATGTAATCGAGTAGTTACAAGGTGAAATCCAGTTTCTTCTTCAGACTCACATCAGACAGCTTGCCACAGTTCCTTAAATCTTCTGGGTAGGAGATCCTGCCTGTGACAGTAGCAGAAAGCTTTGGGAAAGTATGGCTTCACATGCTGATGAAGGATAATAACTTTTCTCATGGGATTATTGAGAGGATTAAATGAGTTCATATTTTAATGCCTGGCATATAATGGACATTCAATAAATGGTAGCTTTTGTTTATATTTACCAATATTTTGTTTGCAGTATATACCAAAAAAGCTGAAGGCTTTTAGTTGCCAGTATCACTTGAATGAAATCTTAGTTGAAGAACAACCTATCTGGATGCTAGAAACTAAAAATTAGGCTGAGCAGTAATGACCACTAACAGCACATATGACATTTCTCAAGTCTCTAGCAGAGAATGATTGCTTTTGAGCATGTTTGAACAACATCTAAATGTGTCATGCTGACCCCAGAGTGCTTTATGTATTATGTATTCAAGAGTGATTCAGCTAAGAACAGTGAGACAGATGGAGACAAGTGTTTGTCCCCATACCGGTGTGTTTTGAGGAAGAAACGTGCTAAATGTGGACGTGTGTTATGAGAGCCTACTGAGAAGTAGGCCTCTGGAATGTGAATCTTTCGTATGCCACTCTGAGCTGCTGTGCTAAAACTTACTTGGTGTTCCAGTGTGTATCACTGGTGAAGGGGATGGGGAAGAAGAAAATCATACCTTGAGATTACAGATTTCTATTAAACTCTCTTTTACTCCATCTTGATCTTCATGATAAATTAGAATTGCAGGGACAGGTAGACATGGCAAGAATTGACACCTCTCTTAGGTGCCCGAAGCTATGCTTGAACTTTTCCAGCCTTCAACTTTACCTGCTTTGCCTGTCACTGTGCCCAGTCCCCCATGCTTCCAAGGTCTCTTTTCCTCCTTCCTTTAGAACAGTGGAGTTTCAGTAAGTCTAACAAATCCCTTTCCCCACATGGGCTTTTTTTTTTTTTTAATTTTTTTATGTTTATTTATTTTTGAGACAGAGAGAAACAGAGCATGAGTGGGGGAGGGACAGAGAGAGAGGGAGACACAGAATCTGAAGCAGGCTCCAGGCTCCAGGCTCGGAGCTGACAGCACAGAGCCTGATGTGGTGCGTGAATCCATGAACCATGAGATCATGACCTGAGCTGAAGTTAGACACTTAACCAGCTGAGCCACCCAGGTGCCCCTCGTGTGGTTATTCTTTAACGGAGGAGGTTCAGTCATTCAAAGAAACCCCACTAGTTGATTTCATTTTAGGCAGAAAAACTAAAAAAGTGGCTCATAACTCTGTGTATTAGCATCCTTTGGGGAACTTGTGTAAAATCCATGAACTCTGGACCCACTTCTAAAAATTATCCTCATTTAATTGATATGTAGGAGGACTGAGCTTCTCCTGAAAAATTTGTTTCTTCAAGAATTTCTTAGCTGATTCTGATGTATAGAGCTGAGGAACACTAAAGAAGAGCTCTTTGTGGATCATTGTTCTTCCCAGAATGAAAGCTTATCACTCACCTGTTCTGTCTTGTTTGTGAGATCAGCCTTGGTTAGAAGGAGGATGTTCTAGTTTTTTCTGGAAGGAAGAATACCCATATTCTAGATTACCTCCTTCCTGTCCCACCTCTACTAGGTAATGGAGTATAGAAGGATCCTGTCTCTCCATGTGGAAGTCTGGAAACTTCCATTAAAAGGAAATATTGCCAGTAGAGACAGTGGACTGTTTCCCTCAAAACCAAACATGATCTTGATTGGTTTCCAGTTTCTGAGTCTTTAGGCCACTGTTTGCAAGGTTTCCTAACCTTTTAGGGGGCCACTGGAACTTTTAGTGGTCTGGTGAAGCTTTGGGCCCTTCTCAAGTTTAATATTTAAAAAAAAATTTGTTTTAACATTTATTCATTTTTGAGAGAGACAGAGCGCAAGTTGGGGAGGGGCAGAGAGAGAGGGAGACACAGAATCCGAAGCAGGCTCCAGGCTCTGAGCTGTCAGCAAAGAGCCCAATGCAGGGCTCAAACCCATGCACCATGAGATCATGACCTCAGCCGAAGTCGAATGCTCAACTGATTGAGCAGGTGCACCTCAAGTTCAGTATTTTAATGTAGAAAATAAATTGCTTAGCATTACAAAGGAAACAAGTTATATTAAAGTATAGTTATTGACATAATATTTGTACAATAATATATGCTTCTTTATTGACACATTAAATAACATTTAATGTTTGGTCTGAGAATTACCATAATTTCAAAGTCATGATAAATGTCAGCAGCTCAAGATAGCTTTAAAAAACTGTAATGTAATATCATAGCAGCTTGTTTCCATTGAAGACAAATTCACAGTTACTGATAATACTGTGATTTGTTGCTAGCATTCACAATTGAAAACAGTGCTAAATTTCAGTTTAGGTTTGTGAAAACAGGTATGTGGTTTTTCTTATCCAAGCTCAAGGACACGTGAAGATCTTACATGTTGAGGTTAACTATATTGACATGGTAATCTTCTTTTCACAGGTGTGTGACAACTGTTTAAGATGATGGTTTTTCATAATAATAGAGTTTATCTAGTAGTATATTTCCAAAGCCCTTCCTTTGATCTTAATGCTAACTTGGTAATTATCTTTTTTTTTAGCATTAACTGAGTGTAATACCAGATTTTATGCAGACCATTAGCTAGATAGCTCTTCTCTCAACTCCCAGAATGCTAATGAAAGTGGTTTGATGTTATAGGAATACAAGCGCAAGTTAGCCAGAGTTTCCCTGGTGCGCAAAGAACTCAGGTCCCGGATCCAGAGCCTGCCAGACTTATCCCGATTACCCAACGTGACTGGAAGCCACATGCACCTGCCCTTTGCAGGGGACATCTACAGTGAAGACTGATGACCAGTCTCTTTCCAGGGCCCAGGACTTTGCAAGAGATGGAGACAGGTTAGGTGGACAGTCCTGTAGCGTTATTTTTGTATATGGTTGAGAGAATGACTAACAAAAGAAGTGACAAGTAATTTATAAAATTGTTTAAAATGTTGGTTTGTTTACTATTTTATTGGTAAGTTAACATGACTTAGTTTAAAAAAGTGATGATCTCTGTGTATTAATAAGCTCACAAATAGTGATTATTTTCAAAAGATCTTTTTGTAAATTTTTTTGATCCAGGGCCTTGTGAGAAATTCCATGTTTCTATTTCTTCATGTATTTTCAAGTGTTTTTCTTTTTTTTTCTTCAATATCTAATCACTGTATAGTATGTAATTCCTAAGGGTGAGAACTAATCAGGAGTTGGTAGAGACTTTATTATGGTATAGTTAGGACTTGATTGTAGAAGGGACTAAATGTTCCAACTTAAACTCCACCCTTCTCCCTGACCAAAATAGCAGTTCTGTGCCTCTTAATGCCTTGATTCCTTATTCCTCAGAGGTCAGGAATTGAACACTAAACTGAGGGTCAGATCAAAGCTTAGAGAACTTTTCCACAATAGTACTGTAGGGGTTCCATTCCAGCTGCCAGTGTAGAACAAAAGGAGTATTAAATAGGGACCCCCTTGATTAAACTATTTAGAATTATTTGAGTAGGTTAATACGAAAATGCTTTGGAAATGTTGTAAAATTTGACCTTCTACCGAGACGACAACTTTGATTCTGGAACTGATTGCTATTTTCAGATCAGTCTCCTTTTAACATAATTGATCCCTTTAACATAAAGCCGTCTATGGGATTAAAAGAACCGTAAAATACTTTTATTATTCGCTTAGCCATTTAACTTTAAAAACAATAGTATTTTTAGCTCTAATATCTCAACACAATATTCCTTAAAGTTCAGTAAAATAGCCTGGAACATTTTTAATGTTTCCTTAAGGTTTTTGAATGACTGTATATTTGGAAATTAAGCAGTGCTACACTACAGGGTAGATCTGGCAAATATTATATTTGTATATTTAGAATTACCAAAACAAATGTACTTTTACCTTTTATTTCTAACCCTGTGTGTTAGAGCAGTTGCATGCTCTCCTGCTTTCTTTTTAAAATCACATTGTTAAGCTGTGGATTTGTACTAAATAATGACTTAGGATAAACATTTTTTTTTATTCATTACATATTAGACATTTTGCTTTTCCTTGTAAGCAGATTCAAATTAGATAGTCAATAAAACATCTTTTAAATCCCACAAGCCAATTATGTCTCTCTAGTCTGAATGGCTTCACTCTTTTTTTCTCAATATTAGAAATTATAGTTAAAATGAATTTCTATGTGAAGAAGGCAAATATTTATTTTCAGTAGCCAAAAGTTCTGGAAACAGTGCTTTTAACAGTTTGGCCTCTCTCCAGAACATAGACACATACTAGTAGTCCCCATCCATATATGGCTTATATTCCAAAGTCTTTTAGTCAACTTTTGGGATTCTGGGCACATTTTCTCACAGAAAGAATAGTAGTAGTTAGGTTCCCTATAAACACTACCATACAAAGGTCACCAGGGAACCTAATCCACTTAACCATGAATGTACTTAACTTGTAATGTGGTTGACAATTACTAATAGATCCTGATCAGCATTTGTAACATCACTCTAACTAAGGAAATGGTGTGCAGCAGCCAGATTCACACATTGTGGTATCTGTCTGTTTTGTGTACCTCTGTCCCTAGGTGTAGATTATATAAAAAGAAGATTCAGCATGGGGGTGGTGGGGTAACAAATGCACAATTATAAAAACCTAGTTATACCTGTTCTAAAAGTGTACCATGTAAGTTAGTTTTTCTTGTTAAAGTGAAAGCAAAAACCTGTATATTAATTTATTTTCAATGTCTTCACCTTATTTATGATCTGTTAAAGTGGTGGTTTATCCATTCAAAATATATTTTTTTCCATTTAAAACTAATTTATAAACTATGTACTCCTGGGAAGATTTGAATTATTCGAAGTTTGTTGGAATATTTTCACCATTTAAGACAGACTTCTGACTTAGATACTGATTTTAATGCCAGTATCTGTTCTAAATATTTATGATAAAAAGGCATTATTTTTTTAAAGAGCTCGATGCGATTTGTGATAAGTGATAGTACTCAACCTGAATCCTGCCCCCAGTCGCACCCTTTGACCAGTCCTCCACAAACCTTTAAGCTGTTGGTTAACTCACTAACTGTAAACACAAATGATATGGTCTGGTTTAGAAGTTGTCTTTTCAGCCTTATGTTAACATGGTAAGCCTTAGCAGTGAATGGTCTTCTTTTCTAAAAGGTAGACTTACATTTTCTCAACAAATGGGGTTAGATGGGGGTACTATAATACCACATTCGAAATCATGAGTGTTTTCTCCACTGTGTATGAACATGAGGCAAATCATGCATCTTTGAGTGCAGTTTGGCCCGGCCCCTCAAGAGAGAAGCATGTCCCCACACTTGCCGCAGGGGTACTGTGGTTTGAATGGATACCATCACTCTTTTCTCCACAAACAGTGCAGAGAGCTGTCTGGAGTGGCCATTTGAACAGATTCCCTGGAGTTCCCTCCGCTCCTTCCATCACTACAGTAAGTAAAAGAACCACATGGGGGAACCCGGGAGTCTGAGAAAAATCAGCTGTGCTCAAAGGCCTCCCTCCCCCTCTAGGAAAACCAGTCCAGATGCAGCTATTTTGGTACCTCTTCTCACATGCACTCTGAATCAGGGTTTTTCTATAAGAATTCCTTCAGAATCAGCAAACGCTGGGATGACCTGGTTGTCTTGATTTGCAAAATTAAAAGAACAAAACTAGGTTGTCAGTTGTCACGGTAGATGAGCAGCTCATCTATTAAAGTGTAGTCATTGAACTGGTTCTGAGAAATCTTTAGAAAGAAAAAACTTCAAAGTACAAATTAATTGGGAAAGTTAGAATGCCCTTTCTGAATTTTACATTCTACAAATTTGTATTATATGAAATAACATAAAGCTACAAAACTGCTTTGTATTCTATTAAGAAATAGCTCCTAAAGATGTAGTCTTGTTTCATAGTTGTTGCACTATATCGAAGCTTTTTAAAGTGTAAACCCAGTTCTTCTCTGTATAGAAAGGGAGCATTGTGTTACACACTGAATTTATTTATACAGAGCATTTGTTGCCATCTGTACTTCTAGCCATCCGCACGTGAGTCTGTTCTGAGGTGGCGGTAGCACATGGGAAGATGAAGTTTCCCTGTTTACCCCTTTTTCTTTGGCTGTATCTGATGACAATATAAGATGTTCTTAATAAAGTTTTATGTTGTTTTTGAAATGTGTAGATAATTTCTGTGAATCTGATTGATTGAATGTGACGTGGGAGGGGAGAGATTAATGGACTGGGAAGGAAGCAAGGGATTGGAAGTATTCCGTGACTTTCTGGCCGAGAAACCGCTGAAGGAGATCCGTTTTGCATGGCCTGTGCTTCCCAAACTCGAGCGAACATAAGAATCACCTGGAGGGTGGTTAAACTACAGATTGCTGGGCCCCACTCCCTGAGCTTCTGGGATAAGGCCTGCTGGTTTATATTTTTAACAATTTGATGCTGATGCCACTGAGTTTAGGGACCACACGTTTTGACAGCCAGTACTCGAGACCAACTTTGAAGTCCATGACTTACTTCACAATTTGTAATTCCAGGTAATGCGATAATAAAGTAAGGGTTTTACAGCTCATCTTATAGTAAGTTCCTTATGGGGAGAGAACAAGATCACCTCCTCTACTGCCCAGTAATGCTGAAGTGGTTTGGAGTGAACGGATTCATTTGGTACTTTGAACTTCTGGAGCACAGGCCTTCACCACATATTGCATTTAAAGCAGATTGGGATATGCTAAAAATCTGTGGGAATCTCTAGGGCAGCATTTGCCAAACTTCCGTGATAAGACTCACTTGGGACATTTTCATAAAGGGCACATATCTACTAAGTCAGATTTTTCTGTGATTCTTAGCATCTAGAAAGTTTGGGAAATGTTGTCCTCTGACCACTGTCCCTGGTTCTCCATTCCTAGAAGGCCCTCTGGTCATTTTATCTGAATCCAGGTGCTTCCCATCCCCACTCCAGTTTTCCACCTTTGCAGTGGGACGTTTTAGACAGTGGAACCTATATCCAAAGATGCTGGTTCAGAAGTCTGCATTTTAAGCAAGGTACCCAGGTGATTTTGATTGATGCGTGTCATTCGTAGATTGCACTTTGAGAAACAACGCCCTTTGAAGCAAATGGTAGTCTGTGATCTATTATAATGTTCGTTCACATGTATGGTACTTAATATGCATCCGGAACTACTGTAAGCACTTCATATGTCCTTTACTCTGATTATTCATTCCACTTCTACAAATGAGGAAACTAAGACACTGTCAATTCTGTGTGCCCCTGAACAGGTCAAATGGTGAAGCTGGGACTCACATCCAGCTCCCAGATTGGCTCTGAGCCCTGTGTTTTATTTATTTATTATTATTTTTTTTAATGTTTATTTATTTTTGACAGGGGGGGGGCAGAGCATGAGTGGGGGAGGGGAAGAGAGAGAGGGAGACCCAGAATCCGAAGCAGGCTCCAGGCTCTGAGCTGTCAGCGCAGAGCCTGATGCGGGGCTCAAACTCACGAGTTGTGAGATCATGACCTGAGCTGAAGTCTGTTGCTCAACCAAGTGAGCCACCCCGGCGCCCCAGTGAGCCTGTGCTTCTTAACCACTACATGATGATGCCTGAAACACTGATAGGTTGTGTAGCAGCTCCATGATCACCAAATCCATGTTTTGCATAACGTGTCAAGCTATAGTGAAATTATGACATTATGCAAGTTAAAAACCAACATCTTAGTTAAAAGCACTACTGGAGTGGGCTTGTAAAAAGATGGTAAATCCAGGGAGTTTTTTTGTTTTGTTTTTTATGGAGGTAAAAAACACGTAACAAAAAATTTACC